CTCCCTTGACCCCAGCTTTTTCCCCCCCTTCTCCGATCTCTCTCAAGGTCACTGCCTGCAGGAAAAGATCACATGCAAGGGCCAGCAAACAAGGGCCAAGGCTGGACAAGGAGTGCTCTCACCTGGGAAATGGTAGCAGTGTGTTGCTTTACGGCCTTTTATCTTCAGGCCTCCTTCACCTGGGTGAGAGACTGTCACAGTCCCCACTGATGCAGATGTTCACAGAGCAACTCAACAGCTGCCAAGGTACCAGAAGGAGCCCAGGTCAGGGACAGCCCTCTGGGATCTCTCCTCAGCAGGGAAAACCACCTTCAAACTCCATCCACTGCCCTGCAAAAGGTCTCAAGTAGGGAGACAGCGCAAATGGGGTAGAAACTCAACTGGAACAACTCGCTGCCTTCTAGGTGCAAAAGAACTGTCTTGCCCCAAGGATGGTACTACAGAGGTGCTCCCTCTCCCTTCAGCACGGAGATAAGTACCAGTGGTGGTGGATGGATTCAGGATGGAAGAGAAGCTGGTCCTTGTCAAACAGATCAGCTTCTTTTCGAGTGGGTGCGAGAGATACTGAGACAAAGACATATCAGAGGGTGTACCATAACAGTCCTTCATCTCCTTGCAATTGGATCAACCCATATACGTGACATTGGATGTGCTCATCCATCTTTAGGCTTTTACAGAATGAAGGTGGTCGAGGGAGAGCTTTACTTCTTCATTTCACACTGTGCTGTGCAATTACAGAGAAGCACTATAAAACTGGATGTGAGATGGACGGCACTTCATTCAGAGCTACCCAAGCAGAACTATCGCTAAACCTAGTAGTGGACTTCCTAGTGAAAAAAGGATGACTAGGACTGCAGACAAACCAGCTGAAGAGATCAGGACTAGAAAAGAGAAGTAAAAAACAAAACTCCCAAACTGACCCGTTTCCTCCAACAAAAGCCCCTCTGGATATTTGGTACGGAAGTTGTGATGTGACAGCTACTTGGAATATCACTTGAACGTTGCTACCCCACCCACCCCCTAAACAGCATTATTTTATTCCGATGACACCTTCAGGACAGGGCTGCAACATCAGCAACTGCTTCCCAGTGCACGTTCTCAGGATTTCAGAGAGCACAGCTACCTCCGGGTGTACTGTCGTTTGCTTTCCTTTCAGCGAGCGTGAAAGCTAAAACCTTTGATGAAAAGAAACTGCTGGGAACAATGAGACCACAGGCAAAAGCTCGGCTGGTGCAGCTGCCAGGAGCCATAGGGATGCTGGCCTTGCAGCCCTTTGAAAAAGAGACGGACTTTGGAGAGAACATAGGGGCTTTGCTATCTGTACCACGCTCAGGAAGCTCTTGCTTTCAGCCAAGTCTTGGGGAAAAGGCAAAATTGAAAGAAAACAAAAAAATTCCTGTATTTCAGGGAGCAGTAGCCTCTCAACTCTTCTGCCACGTGCCGACTGCACGGCAGGGGATAAATGTGAGGATTTTACATGGCTGTCCAAGCACCCCAGTAGCTGAGACACTTGTCCTCACACAGGAGGGCCCACGGCCAAACTCCTTCTGCTAATTCATCTCAATATCAGCCAGGAAAAGAGTTTTCTGTTCACTGTTTGCGGAATAAAATTCTTCCTCATTAAGAGGCCCAAGCCCAAGAAACAGCCACGGGAACAAACAAGGTTCTGTGCAGATATAATTCCCACCTTGCCACTGTGGAATTAAAGCAAAGAATTAGGCTGCAACCGTTCCTTTCCAGCACAATGAATGCTAAAGAGGTTACAGCTTTGCACTGCAGACATTTTCTGGGGAAAAGAAATAATGACTTCTTTACCAGCCTGTCTCACTTGTTACTCGCACGGAAACAAGCCTGAGGATTATTATTTTTGGACAAAACAGTTAAGAACGATTACCGCATGTCAGTATGTTTGAAGTGTTAACCTAAAGGATAGCTGAAAGTGCCAGTATTTCTCCAGCCTATTCCTTCCCCCCCACCCCGAGTGCTGTTATTTTGCAGAAGGGGGCCGGCTAACTTGGGAGATACCAGCTAAGAGGGCAGCCTTCTCATGGCTGCCACAGCACACAGAAAAGCCTGTCCTTCCCAGACTTGTATTGAATTTGTCAAGCACAAAAGTTACCTGGAAAGAATAAAACGTCACTTCTTGCTGCTGGAATTTCTACCTAAACCGCTCACCATGGGTGAAGATTTACCCTGTAATCCCTGAGCTGAACCTTGGCACCTTACTAGTGAGGTCAAGAAGTATCTGATCCACTTGAGCAGAGATGATGGGTGTTGTTTTGCAAGAAAGTGTGATGCAGCAATTCTTACAGGTTTTTTTCCTCTCCAAGTCCATGTTTATGTTATGACCAAGTGAGATTCCTCCTTCTCGGAGGCTTGGACCCAGACTAGGAGAGGAAGAGAGTGAAACAGAGCACTTTCACAAGTCATCCTAGGCTGGCAGATCCTGAATTCCTCCGGTCTGAAAAAACTTACAGCATGCAGAAACTAGGAGCAAGGACAGAGAACCAGTGGGGATCCCAGTCAGCGCTAAACCTGAGAGAAAGCTTAGGATGCGGTGGTGACTGTTCAGAAGAAGAGCATGTGCTGGACACAAACCCAAAGGGAGCATGGGCTGGGTCGGAAGGGTTGGACAAGGTGCAGGATGGAGAGCATTCAAGTCTCAGCAGCAGATCATTGCTTCCTAGCGAAGAGCAGAGGAGAGGCCATCAAGCGGCCAGCTCTGTGGCGCTACCGCTCATGCTGGGTTTTGCGCCTGGCTTTCACTCCCTGCTGTAGGCAAGAGTCGCCTTGGAGTGCTCCTTCCTATCTTCCTTCCCTCCCCTGCACGGTGGGAAGATGATCCGTTCTCCTGCAAAGCTCTGCTTTTAACACTCAACCCGCACACTGTGTATTTGATTAAAGGGATGTTGCATGCTGCCCAAACGGTAGCCCAAAGGAGGCTGCACTGGTACTGTTAACTATCAGCAGTAAATTCACGTGCCTACGAGAGCCAAGGTAACAAAGTCAAAAGGGTCCAACCAGAGTGTGCTGCTGCTTTGAAGGGTGGCAGCACCCTTCACAGGGATAACCTGGGGCAACGGCAGTTTGTGCCACTGCTGGAGAACAGAGGTCTGCCTAGACCTGGGATTTGCTTCAAGTACAACCACGGACAACCAATGCAACGCAACCTCCTACTACTGATGAGCAAAACTATTTGAACTTACCTTTGCTTGAAGCTGGAATAATTTCTCAAGAGATAAATAGTTGCTGGGGTGCTTATGCAAGAGGCTGTACAGCAATGGTTGCAATCCAGACTTGCCACAGTGCCCCGAAATGAAGAACGTGGCTTGTGCAAACAAGGCAGAGAAGTCAGCCCCACGGATATCACAGCCACAGATGCAATGCTGGAAATGAGTGTGCCCCTGTCACAGCAAACATGCAGGGACAGCATGGCTCAGCGACTCCGACTCCTTTCGTAGGGTGGGAATCTCCAGCTTCCTTGCTCTGCCACGCGCCATGACCCTTGAAAAAAACCCTTTTCTCCTGCTTTAGTCTGACTTCTCTGTTAGATCAAGCTCTTTAGAGATAGGCTTGGTATCCTGCTCCAACGGGGAAACCAAACCTGAATTGATTGCCCATAGCTACCAGCCATAATAGAAAAGCTGATGCTACCAATAGCAGTAATAAAGTTTCCATGCGGACGCCACCAGAACAAATGCAACAAGGGATACGCGTTCTGGAAGCAGGAACATAAAGGTCACTTTAGCTCTTTTGGAAACAAAACCCAGGACACGTGACTTACAGCTCCTATCACAACCAACAACTCCCAAATTTCAAAGAGAAATGTCCTAAAGATCCAGTCACCTATCCTCAACCTAGTGATTATTTTATGAAAATGTTTATGCCAACATTATAGTTTTCTAAAATGTAATGATTTTTTCTATTATAGGTTTATGAGTACTTCTGAAACAGAAAGGGGAATAATTCAGCAAAGCAGCTGATTATAAAACTTTTACTGTGTACTAAATAAAGAAGGCATACTTTCCTGTTTTCTCCTTAGGGGTTTGATGTTACAGAACTACTGAGTACTATTAAGTATCACAAGTGGCTACTCGACAGTTAATTCTAACTCGGGGATTAAATCTGCCCTTTTCAAACTTTAATGAATTTTCTCCAAACCAGTAAATTTTTGCAGACTTCAGAAAACGACTGCAAAAAGTAGCAATAGCATAGAAATAATAACAGCTGCGCAACACTTCCTCATTCCACCACCTAAATAACTCTGCTACAAACACAGCCACCCCGTGTGATAAATTTATTACAAGCTGTTTCCATCGCCAAAGCCAGACCGTTCTCTCCGTCAGGCTCACCGGACACCAAGCATCTCCTGCTCCCAAACTCACGCGAGCCACCTTCCTCGGCACCAAATCGACCCCACGCTGCGCACAGGCAGAGACATCCAGCCCCCATGTGTGGTCAAAGAGGGTGTTTAGCACAGAGTGGGAGAAAAGGGGATAAACTAAGGCTTTCGGTGACAAGGCAAAGGAGCTGATTCGCAACTCCATCGCATTTTGATGGGGGTGAGGATGATGTAAAATACTCATCTTCAAGGGTTTATTTTAAAAAGGGAGGATGGTGAGACCTTGGAGTTGGAGGAACAAGACGTGGAGCGACTGTGGAGGTTTGAGGATGAAGCCCAGCAAAACGATGTGCGACGGCAGTACAACACGCAGATGGCTTTGCTTTCTCAAATATGCTTAAGAAGCTGCTCTTTAAAACTCATGCATGCCCTTCTCCCAGCATCAAAATCCACCCCGGTCTGCGTGTGAAATGCCTCATACGGCAAAGACAGCATGCTTAAGTGATCAAAGCACCTTTCACAAGTGTACTGGCAGTATTTACAAACAGACTCGTTTTACAAACGCATGGGTTTACGATCTCAGTGAGAAATGACACGTTTCCCCCCCTCCTCTTCCTCCTCCAGGACGGAGAGTGAAGTGGCACATGCCAATACTTACCCAGGAAGCCCTCTTCGTCCACGATGATCGTGTAGTCCTCCGGGGTTTCTGTGAGGCTGAAGAACTTGCACCTGGCAAAGGCAAACAGCAGGAGAGCAGGATTAGCTGCCGGGCCGAGCAGAGCCCACTCGGTTACTCAGGACAGAGACCCTCACCCAGCCCAGCCACATCCGCGAAGAAGAGCACGGTTTGGTGCGTCTGGGGTTGCCCAAGGGATGAACAGATCTGGTAAAACACTTAATATTTTTATTACTTGGTTATTAGTCACTTTTATTAGTTACCATATTCCTCACAGCTTCCAGGCACAGTGCGGGACCTGCTGTACCGCACAGAGCCAAAAAGACTTTGCTCGCTGACTGGCGACACCAACACCCTCCATAAAGCCCTCCAGCAATCAATGTGTGCCCACCTGGCTCCCCTATTTCCCCTCTGCTTCTTGCCATGTCAAGGCCTTCTAAGTCCAGCCTCCCAAGTGAAGCCCCAGTATCCATTCCTCCTGCTTCAGAGCCTTTTCCTGCTGGAGGAGAGCATCCCCGTTGCCTTTGTCCAACCCTCCCCTGCCCTCCAGATGATGCTGCAAACATCAAGCACAGGAGCACAAGGCCAAGTTGCCCTCCTCTTCATCTCCTATTGCCTCACATCTGCTCCACGCTCATCTTTCGACACTGTCGGCCAGGTGAGAAACAGCCCCTCCATTGCATTCAGCACTGATCACAGTGTCACCCCTACCACGAAAGATAAAATAAATAAGACACGAGATGCTACCACTGTAGCATCAACAGGAAAGCTTCTGCTTTGGGGTGCTCACGGAAAAGCCTCTGACTATAAGGACCAAAGAGCAGGATTTTGCAGTTATATTTATAATAACAACACATTTATCTGACGCCAGCTACAGAAAATATTCTGAATTCACAGCAGGCTCACAGTATACTTCCTGCATGGAGGCTCCAGCTTTCTTTTGTCATGCTGAAAAGAACGAATGGAAAGAAAAATGAGATGGCTACTGCCCTCCCCATCACCTCATCACGAGAACGAGAAGAAATAACATGCAGCTCTAATGGTGCTCTGCCATGTAACCAAAAGGATTTCAAGTAAATAGAAAGTATCAGACAACCTGTCCTAAGTGACTCGTCCTCCTTCCCTAGAAGCATCCGTCATGACAATCAAGCATGACACTCTCCCTCCTAGCACAGATGTATCACCACAAAACACAGAAGTGGCCCCACCACAACAGAAACCACAACTTAATTATTTTATGTCATCGGTAATAGCTACTGTGACAACCACATTTACTAACTCAACTCTCTCCAGGAACAGTGCCAAGAGAAGCAGAAAACAGTAGCAGCCCAAATTTTTCACTCGTACTTCTGATCTGCACAAGGATGGTCCCCGTGAGAGCGGTGACCCAAGCAGGAGAGCTGTGCTGGGCAAAGTGGGATGCTGCTCTAGGTGGATCCCAGGAGATATTGGTGGCACTTTTATTATTCAGTGGACAAATTCCCTGCAGAAGTCACTGAAACCAAATTCTTTGCTACCACCAGCTCTCCTAGTCACACACATGCTGACTGGAGAGAAACTAGTGGTCTTAAAGAAGGAAACATTAATATTAAAAATCCAGCTTTCCTGATATGCCACGGCATTTACAGAGAAATTTTATTCCAGAACTGTAATACACGTCTGCATGCAGACATTGACCCAGCAGAGAGAGTATCAACCTGATAGATACCATTTTCTTAGCACACATCTAAAAGCAACGATATGTAAGGGATATGTACCGACTAAATCCCGTAATTGCTGGCTCAGAAAGCATGTCAAAACCTCACATCTTCATATATCAGCACAAAGCCCAGTTCCCTCCTCATAGCCATTCTGGAAAAGGTCAGCAGCATACAGCCATCTGAATTTAAACACAAAGTCTTTTCACCAGCACAGAAGAGACCGTTGCTCCTTGTGGAATATATTCACTTATTTTACTCCAGCGATGCATTTTTCATGAGGGAAAAGATAAAAAGGAAGAATCTGAATCGCAAGCATTAATGGAATAAAACACTGCATGGAAAAAATGTTCTTACCATCGCACACTAGCAGAACTCAAGCCCTAGCCCTAAAACTTTTCCTCAGCATGGATGCGCACAGATCTACTGCCACCGCGAGCGCAACTCAAGAGCTGTGTGTCTTGAACCATCAGCAACAGAAGGAATCCCAACGTTGTATTGCTCTCCTGCACTATCCTATACATGCCTCTTCCGTTCAAGTTGCTCCTATCATTTCTCTTTCCCCTTAAACCAGCTCTGGAAAAGCTGCATGCCAACAGCATCTTCTGTTCTCACACCGAAGCCAGTAAAGGAAAGGAATTGCCCTTTAATAGGTTTGAGACATCAGGCAAACAGTATTTCTCTAAGCATGTGTGGAAAGTATATATGTAGGAAGAAAATACTTTCAGTTCCCTAACAGCCAAACCTCAGACAGATTCTTCTGGATTTCTGCCTTCTTCGTGTTTCAGCACATTTCCACTTCAGCACTGCTGCTGACTTCGACTGCCTGACAACATATGTCTTTTTCTGGCAACGCAGCAAATGTAGATCAAACTATTATTAGATTAGATCTTTGAAACTGCAGAGCTTACGCTGTGTATGGAAGTAATACTGAAGCTTGCCCAGAGCAGGAAAGCATGTGTAGGATGCAGCAAGAGCATCATTTCAGTTTGCAAACAGCACGTGAGTCTCCATGGGAGAAGAAAGCAGGCAGAAAAGCATACTGCTTGGCCTCCCTTGTTGGTCTGCACCAGAAACGTCTCCTGGAGATATTTGCTCCCCAGGCTTGCCTAGATCACAGGGGCGATAACACTGGAACTAATGCGACTTCCACTGGTTCTGGGTCACACTCAAAGCACATGTTTGTGGGAATACTGCTAGGGGTCATTTGGAAATTCAGCACAGATGATGGTCTTTATGGAAACCACAAGTCCTGTCTTCTTGTTTATAAGGAAACGACTTAGTTAATTGTTGCCAAGGCAGGGTAAAGAGTTGCAAAGCTGTTTGTCCCAGGAAAAAGGTCCTTCCCAGAAGCAGGTGGGCCGCCGCCGGCCGGCCTCTCCCCACATGTCACAACCAGGACTGAGAGCCATTCAAAGAAACATAATGACTAGAAGGCATTCAAATGCAAAGTCTGGAGGTAACCCAAAAGTCTGCAAAGAAGCCGGCGATCTGAATGGGAATTAAGCAGCAGCAGCAGCAAGCTGATCTGAGTGAATATGAAAAACATAATTTGTTGGGTTTTATTGCAGGCTGTCCTCTCATTTTAGATGAGAAGGGATTTGTATGCTTCACTCCGTATATTACCACGATAATATATATTGATAGTACAGAAAGACAGTCTCATGCTAATCATCTCCTTCCTGGTGATCTTAACTTCTTTGCAGTTTTATAAATAATGACAAGAGGTGGATTCTAGTGCGACATATTGTGAAATGCATTTAGGAAAGCAGTAAAGAACACTTGTGCTGTTAATGCGTTTTGACATATTTGTGTAACATGTTAAGTACTTTACACCATCTAATTACAAGACTATGCAGTCAAATGGCACCAAAAATTGCAAACAGTGAAGTGACTGGTGTTTTCTAAACAGCATATTTGTTTGTTAGCCAAAACACTTTGCCATCTTTTTGGCAAGACTGAGGAAGAAAACACAGCTTTAGCTGAACTCTGGAGACAAAGCAAAGCCCCTCGCGATAGGTGTCGGCCGGCTTTCCACTCGACGTTCAGCTCTGGAAGTGGCAGCTTCATCTTTCCTACAGTAACTCGCCTCTGCAGCTTGGTATTAGCAGGCTGCTACGCTGCTAAAAGGAGCAGCGTCCAAACGAGCCGTTTAAACAAACTCCCCGCTTCCATCCCTACCAAGAGAAACACCAAAGATGTCGCGGCACTGTTGGGAACGGTCAAAGGACAGTGGGAACATTCCTTCCAGTCATTAGCTGGGCTCGGAGCCGAGATGGAGACATTAGCAAACACAACCAGGGACCGCCTAAAGAGTCACTGCGATAGCAGAGTTCGGTTCGTTACAGAAGGTTAATCATTTTCAAAAACAACGCAGAACAAAACTAACAGATTTGTGGCCAAGGAAAGCAAGTCTTCATGCACAAGACATTAATTCAGAAAAGTCCTTCTGCCTGTGCTGTGCCAAAACTTCCATGATAAGCTTGATGGTCTTGTCTAATCCATAATAATAATGACAGCCTAGACCACAGGCTATACTGTGGACAGTTAAACAGGGGGAACTTCAGTCCACCTCTCTCCTTGCCTCTTTTGCGTAGCTGGGGAAGTTATCTAGAGCATTTATTCAGGCTTTCAGATGACCGGGAGGAGAAAAATAGCAAAACAATCTGCATCAGTGAAGAAATGGAAATCAAGACCAAGCGCAAAAGGGACGACCCACCACCCAGACAATTTAAAAAAATAAAAAGAAGATGTGGATGTGCTCACAAAGATACTGATCTTATTAAGGGCAGCTTACGGATAAAACCAGGACACTCAGCAACAATATACACAAGGATTATTCTAAAATGTCAGCTGGGTGTCTGCCCTCCTCGCTTTCACTAAACCCTTATCAAACTGCGATTTGAGTCTTCTTCAAAACAGTTCCATGTGGTCTGGACTGCAAGAGCCTATGCAAATCCAACCACTGCTGCAAAGGAAAGATTAGCAGTAACTTGGAACAATACCAATCAGTGATTTTGATATGATTTCCATTTTTCTGGAGTCAGACACAGTCAGTCCAGACTTCCCAAGCTGCTGAGGTACAACAGGTACAAAGGTACAACATTCAACAGCTATCTTGCAACATAATCACTGGCGAAATGGTTTTGGTTCTATACACACACTTGGAGTTCATTTTGTATGACTAGCAAAGCCCAAGTCAGGATGCTTTCACCAGTCAAAGCACAATGTTTGCAGTATTGCTTTCTAAAATTGTTCCTTGGGGTACTCAACTGAAATTTTCCTTCATTTGCCCTGAGAGCATTTTTTTAAAATACTTCCTGAAAAAACAATTAGAAAGTAACTTGCTACTTGGC